TTTTTTATAGGTGGTCGAGGTCATTTTTTTGGTGCAAAAGCAATCGATGAATTTATTGTACGATTGCAAATGAAATTAATTGTCCGTACGCATACACCATATGATAGGGGTCATTTTATGTTTGCATCGAAGCAACTATTGTCCATCTGGTCTAGTAATTGTAATAATGTCAAACTTGCAACTAGTTTATATATTAACCCACAATTACAGATCAGTGTACATTGTATGACACCTGTAATTGTAAAAACTATTGTCACTGATCAATTACCAGAAACGCTATCAGAAGTGGAAATTATTGAAGTAGAAGAGAGGAATAAACTTGATGGAATGTAACGTGTGAAATCTTAAAAAAAAAATTCTAAACTTAGAATTTACAAGATAATTTACTAGGTTAGGTTAAAAATTAGTTACAGAAATTGTGATAGGATTGTGAGATGGATCATTTCCTAAAAGATTTAAAATGGCCAACAAAATTTAAATCAAAAATCTTTCGATTGTATTTCATCGTTCATTTAAAATAATAGTTTCTCAACCAGAATGATCTATGAGAACTAAAACTACGATCCGTAAGGGTATTGATGCAATGAGTAAAAAAAAAAAAAAGCAAAAGCTATTCCTATCAATATTTTGATAAACTTGTACGTTAAAAACTTTGTTAAAAAAAACTTTTTTCTCTAATTAACAGAATTTATTTTTTTTAAACATTATGATCTTTGTTACAAATAAAAAAAAACTAAAATGATCGATGGTTAAGAGAATTAGTTGATAAATGAAAAATTAGTTTATGAAAAGAATTTTTTCATTTATTAACTAAATGATCCTTAAAGAATCTTCCAGAATTGTTCTTCAAAAAATCTCTCAAAATTTTTATTCTCTTGTTATTTTATCATTACAAATGTATTATTCAATTCATTTAAAATCTGTTGTAGGAATTATTTAAATAAATGTTAGAATTTCAGAATTATTTATTCATTTTGTTTAAAGGTTTTAAAAGATGTAATAAATTCTTGAATTTTAATTTGTTTTTTTTTTATTTTTTATGTGAATTGATACCAATATATTTATATGTATATTTTAAAGTTTTAAAAATTTTTATCATATTTTTTATGCTTATATCTAACAACATATTATTTAACGAATTTGTTTGATAGAACTATAAACAAATCTCAATGAAAATATTGTTTGTTTACAAATGCATCCAATATTTTCCACATGTAAGGATAGAAATTTTTCAGTTTTTTTTTTTTTTTTTAAATTCAATTTTAAATTTAGTATTTGAAGAAAAATGCTGCTGTTAATGGAAAATAAAATGGTAATAATGTAATAATGTACCTTTGCACTTACCCTTTTTTTTTTTTGCTTTCTTCATTTATTTTATTTTTACCTTGTTTAAGCAATACTTCCTAAAATTACTACATTCAGTGAAAAAAGATTGAATAAATCTAGAGAATTCAAAATTTATTATGTCTATTACCAGTACCATAATACCTGAATATGATGATACTGATGACGATAAAATAGTGGCTTGTATTATTGCGGTTAGTATTTTATTAAATAAATAATTGATTAATAAATTCAGTTAAATGATAATAATAAAAAGTAATTGCGGTGATAAATCCTCAATTTAGTAGGCATTGTAAAGGATGTAAAAATATTTTCAACAAATATTGAAGGTATGAATACGATTTCTGGTTCTATATTATTAATAATTATTAAATATGAAAATAGGATTTCAAAGATTACAATCGTCGTGATATTTAATTTTGTATAATTTTAATAAATATTTTCAACAAATATTGAAAGTATGAATATGATTTCTGATTCCATCTTATTGATAATTATTAAGTATAAAATAGGATTCCAAAGAAATGATATTTAATTCCGATATTTAATTCCATATAATTTTAATAAAGTTTTCAATAAATATTGAAAATACGAATATAATTTCTGATTC